CCCTGTATCGATACATTATTAGCAAACAAAATATCACGATACTACACAGTATCGATTTTTTCCCCCATCTCTACCGTGTTCCCCCGAATTTGACGAAGCCACAGACCCAACAGCAAGTATATTCTTGTTCAACTTCTTTTTAGCATTCGTGTCACACACGCTCAGACACGTTGATATGATGAAATATGATATGACGACAACCACATTAGGTAGTACTGAATTTGTAGTGGAAAACCAATCAATCTGAGCCGAGTAGTGCCGATCCGTGGAGAGTCAATCAGAGTAGGTACTAATGGAAAAGAGGCTTATGAAGCTGGACAGTCCACAGAAGGTCCTTAAGCCATCGGCAGCACCAGAATCTGCTCCTCAGTGAAAGGAGGAACAGCATGAGCAGTGCCAGAGCTACAAAATGACCTCCAGCAGGCCGCTGTAAATGTCTCTGACCAAGCAATCAGAAACAGACTTCATGAGGGTGACCTGAGGACACAACGCCCTCTAGTGGGCCCTGTGCTCACTGCCCAGCACCTCGTAGCCCAAACTGGCATCTGCCATAGAATACCAGAGATGGGAGGTTGTGCTTTATACAGATGAGAGCAGGTTCACCCTGAGTACACATGAAAGACATCAAACGGTCTATGCTGCCTGTTGCATCGCTCAGCACGACCAGTTTGGTGGTGGGTCAGTGACGGTCTGGAGAGACGTATCCATGGAGACCTGCATAGACCTCTACAGGACAGGCAGCAGCACCCTGACTTAGGATTCGGCTTCACTTCCAGATCCTCCTGTCTCAGAAAACCCCCACCACCTGTTTGACCTGCTGCGGGGTCAGGTCAATCAGGTACACACCTCCAGACTCACTAACAGCTTCTTCCCCTGAGCCAATCGGACTGTTAACAAACACCCCCCGCCCCACACCTGCCCACCCACCTCACCAATCTGAGCCATGGTCTGAGTAACCCCCTTCATTCAGGCCACTCACTGGACTCATGGACTCAATACTCAGACTGAGTCCTTTTGCACTGCTTCTCTTTCTCTTGCTTTGAATGTATTATAGTATATATCTGTTCTGTTGGCCATTTATTCCTGATGTCTTTACTATTACTGATGTATTTACAATCACAATGAAGGGCTTTTCTATTCTACCACATATCCAGCCCATTTCAGAGCACCTGTCCAGCATGGTTAATTTTTTTCCAATGAAAGCTGATGTGCTTTCAAACTGTACTTGTAATTTTTGCCTTTGCCAAATCTTTGATCTCAGCAGCAAATGTACAAACTTGTTAGCATTCAACTTTTTTAATAACACACCTGCTCCTTAAAGTTCAGAGAACAGACAGATTTAGTCTCCAGGTGTCTGTTCGGCCCAACCTCCACTAATTCAAAAGGCTCCTCGGGGCTAGTGTCTTCTGGAACATTTTTGGGCAACACTGCTATAGCAACACCATGCTAGGTTTCCTTGTATACATAATAATGAGACCAGCATGTCTGAGAGGCGGGAGTCAGCCTCCAATGATGATGAGCTACCTCAACAACCTCCAACAAACCACTGAACTCTGAAAAATATGCAAGAAAATGGTTGGTGCTGAAGGCGAAACGACAAACGTGTTTCACTACTAAATAAATAAATACATAAATACTACTGTTAAAGTGTTTAGCACTTATTTTATGCTTTTCTTTAAACACTACTTGGGCTACACAAAAACTTGATTCTGTTCGTCTGGACGCAGCAGTTTCAGTGGGAGTGGCGCTCATCCAGGTCTTCATTTTTTCAGAACAAAAAATAAAAATAAATAATTGCTCCACCCCAGGGATCAGGTCCCCTGGCATAAACAGAGGATTGCCAGGATTTATACATCGGGGAAACCAAACAACCTCTGGCGAAGAGGATGGCACAACACAGAAGAGCCACCTCGTCAGGCCAGGACTCTGCAGTCTATTTACACCTACAGGCCAGTGGAGACTCTTTCAATGATGAAGATGTAACATCCTGGACAGGGAAGAACGCTGGTTTGAGGGCGGAGCCAAGGAGG